TGGTTCTCTCATAGGTTCTGGTGTCGGTTCTCGTACAGGTTCTGGTGTTAGTTCCTGGACTGCTTCTAACACTGGCGCAGAAACTGGTTCTGGTGTGGGGTCTGAAGTTTTTTCTTGTACTGCTTCAGTCTGGCTGGACATCAGTTCTGGTGCAGCAGATGGCTCCACAGCTGCTCCTGCAGGAAGTTCTGCTTCCCCTGGCCCGGCAATGGCAGCTGCCGCAGTAGCGATAGCTGCAGCAGCGGCTACAGCAACAGCTATGTCCTTTGCAGGTTCTGCAACAGTGGCAGCCTTAGGGCCTCGTTTAACAGGAGTTGGGGTACTGCTGCCCACAGTTTTCTTCGGGCTGGAGGTCTTGGTTGTAGCTGGTTTGGAGCCAGGGGGCTTGGTGCGGTTGGGTGTCTTTGTGTCTGCAGCCTTACTAGCAGGGGGCTTTTTGGCGGTGACATCTGATTTTGAGGCTGATTTGGGGGTCTCTGGTTTTGCTGACTTTGTTGTAGAAGATGGGCGTGTAAGGGGGGAGTCTGCAGGCTTTTTGGATGCTGCGGTGGCTGGTTTGGTAACATCTGGGAAACACAGCACAAGGGTGGTCAAACAATGACATAATTAAACTACAATACAGCCTATTATAATAAACAAAATCCTCCAAAGCTCAGTATTGAATCTTTCTGTAGTTAAACGACACTGTATTCAAATAAACAATGTAGAGTTTAAACTAGTTTAACTAGAACTAGTACAAAAACAAAATCCTGAAATATGCTTGATGGTGCATCCCTGCTCATTACAATATCTATACATAATTTACCTTTTTTCACAGGGGTCGTGTTTCTGGATGTTTGTGATGCCAGGGGTTTGCCACCAGAGGGAGTAGTGGAGGTTGGTTTGGAGGCAGCAGGCTTGGCAGGGGTGGAGGAGGTTTTAGGGGTAGCAGGTTTGGCTGTAGCTGGGGAGCTCTTGGTTGTACTGGAAGTGGGTGGCCGGGTTGAGCCTGTGGCAGGACGAGATGGTGCCGCCGTGCCAGTTGTAGGCCTGAAGAAACAAGACAATGAAGAGGGTTGATGAATACTGTGTGTAAATACTGAGTCTCTACAGAGGTAGAGAAACAATCCCGGCTAAATGTGCATTTCAAATCAGGAATATCTCTCTACTGGTCGACTCTAGGCTTACTTTCATTTAACATCCCATGAGACAGACATATTTCAGTGAGCTCAATAAGATGGTGATTTGCCATTTTAAAAAATACAATGGAGGGCTGAAGATTAATTGAAGGTGACTTGAGTGTTTTGAGTTGTCAAGCCATTCGCGGCTAGGGGCAAACATCAGGTCTCTGCCAGTCTTACGCTGTAAGTGCTTCAGAATGGTTGTGACAAGGAGCTTCGATGTCTCACTCATTAGTCATTTCTACTGCCAGAGGATCCCCTAAGAAACAGCACAAACACAAGCAAGACTGCTTTTGATTGTGAGACTGAAAAGCAGTACAATGTATGTAGGCATAAGGAGAGGATAGACTGTGGGTGCACAAGCAGCCAAGGCCCTGACCTAAATAGCCTTTCACAGATGTGGCATCAGCCCAAATCCAATGAGTACTTGTAAATGGGAGAGAACATTAGATTTGTTGAGAACATCAAAGCTCTTCGTGGTCTTGCACCTGCCTATTTGTCTAACATCCTTGCAATATATGAACCAGGATGGTTCTCCGGGTGAGTTTTCAATTTGTAGTTTTGATGCTCCAAGTTGTTGGAACAGTCTGCCAGAGGATCTGATATTTTCTCAACTAAACTAAAAACTGGCTTTCGATTAGAATATGTTAATATTAATATTAATAGTGGCTAAGTATTCTGTTGTTTTGAATACAGTTGTTCAAATAACAAACATAGGAAATTCCTCCGATACCGCCTACAAAGGGATATACACAGGTCTGTACCCCAATCCAATACCACCTAATTGATTAGCCAAAATGGAACCCTGCAACATCTCAACAGTGTCCTGTTTGCCATTTTTCCCCCTGACCTACTCTGACTCCCACAAAGGGGTTTAAGAAGTAATTATATAATACTACATATCTATTTTATAACACCGGTACTTGGTATCGCCCGCTACGCTAAGTTCACATATCAGAATTGGTATTGGGAAGAAAAAATGGTATTGGAACATTTCTAGTTTTAAATGTTTTTATTCCCCTAACCTGTTTTTTTTTAATTTTATATTATGTCATGTGCAGTCTCAGATTAGTTATTTTTATTTTTACTATCTTATCATCAACTTGTTCAGTCGTGTATAAAGTATATTGAATTGCACTAACCTGTACTACGGGGCTAACAAATAAACTTTGATTTATTCATTAAAGACTATGAGGAAACTACATTTACTAAATAATAACTCAATTCTGTCTTTAGTGTATCAGCGTCTAAAACAATGGTAACTAAAGGCCCAGCTCAGCTCACTCTTCCACAGGGCCATGACAAACTCCCCTGAGGGGCTATGAAGCAGTTTGGGGGTGAGTCACGATGTACTCCAGAGAGCATCCCAACCCCAGTAAACCCTGTCCTTGATCTCTTGTCTATACCCACTCCACACAGGGGAATGACACGTGGGGCAGTATGCATCATAGCCCGCCTGCTCTGGCGGTCTGCCTGGCCCAGAAGATGGCTTCTATGTCACATCTGAGCGAAGTAACCTACATCTAGTAGTCCTGACAGGACTGTGGTTTCCAATCTCCTGGGCCTGCGCTACACTAACTGCCTGTTTCTAAAAAAAGAATTGAGCTAGTACTGGTAGAAAGAGAACAGGGAGGTAGCGGGAGAGTGAAGATGGCTGGGACCCTGTTAATCTTTAATACTGAAAGAACAAAAATAACTTCTCTAAATCCCTCAGCTGGAACCACAGGCTGAGTTAAAAGCACACTCATTGTGTGAGGGGACTGAAGTAGTGCATGCTATCCACAACCTGGCAAATGTAATGGAATATGGTCTGGTAACAAGAAATAAGATTAAAGCCAGGCAGCAACGGGTGGCAACACAATAGGGGTGTGGTCATGTCGGAAGTTCAAACAAGCTTTTACTGTTGATCCACATCATTTAGAATTGGCTTTGGGCTAGTGAAAGGGGTGTTACGGATACTGATATTGTTGAATCATGTCAATGCACTTTTAGTGATATAAAACCCTTCTGGCTATGTAAAACCACAAACAGACTCATGTGTGACGCACTGATTCACTGCTGACTGTGTTTACTGGAAAATCAGAAAGGCTGAAAAATGCTGATGAGGACATTTTTAAGTGAACATGTTAGTGTTCTTGTAGCAAAAAGCCCTCTCATAATTTATGTAATATAGACAGTATAAAAGACACAGAGATCTTCCGCTGGCACAGTGTTGACATGTAGGCCAAAGTTGCACCAAAAAAACCAACCTTTTTAACAATAAATCAATGGTTTTAATCAATTTAGTCGCAGTGAATAAATTCTCCTCCACTTCTCCTTAAATTGGGAAACGGTTACTGAGATGTTCAGATTTTAAGCCTAAGATTGTTGAAAGTAGCCAATGAACAAGATGTTAAAAGGTGAAATGAGAATAAGCTCTTGAAAAAGAAATGTTGAGTGGTGCCTGAATTAGAGAGTAAAAGATAAGACAAGATTTACAGGAAAAGGAGAATGGGGAGAATTTAAAGATACAGAAGCTGGCTTAAGAGATGAAGTATGCTGAGGGGAGATTCAGAGAGCTCTCACAATAATCTGTCTGATAAAAAGAAATATGGATAATCCAAAAAGGCAGGACTACTTTATAGAGCACTGGAAATTAACCAGGCCACTGAGAAAAAGAAAGAGGGTGATAGAGATGGGAGGGAGGAAAGGGGGGGGGGGGGGCAGATAATATTCATCCGATTACACATTATCTTATATCAATGTCTTTCTCTTGTTTATCAAAGAAGGCAGACACAGTTGAAAAGCTATTACAGTATTTAAGAGACCGGACCACAGTAAAGTAAAGTCTGTGTTCTGAGATCATAAGTTGTTTAACAACACTTGGTCTTGCTGACAATGACTGAATACAGTGATGTATTTATGCTTGAATTATTTCCAGCTTCCATTTATTCTGTAATTAAGCTCGCTGTGAGCTGAATGACAGAGAAGACAGTAAGAGTAACTGTGGTCTTTAAATGATGCTACTTTGCATCTACATTTAACTCAATGGGCAGCTTGTGTTCATTGTTCCTGTTTCACCACAGGCCATGCTGAGAGAAACAATGCTATAAATTGGGGTTAAAGCAAATGTTGAACAGACAGCCCAGAAAAGCGCTGGAGCTGAAAAATCAGATGACTGACGGTTAGTTGCTACAGGCACACTGAGGCAAGCAGCAAAATGCATAAAGTTCACCTTTAGCTGCCTGAGGATCATTAATAACATTTTAGCTTTACTGTAACTGCTCCTAAATTATTGGAGCCGAGAAACGATTGCATGTAAAAACATAGTTGCCTGCTGGTGCTGCTTTGTTACGCTACGAGAGACAAGAGACAGGCCGTGATTTAAATAATGAGATGCACCACGAAAGGGGCAAATGAGTAAGCAGGATGGAGGCAGTCTTCCCTGCAGCACAGGCTTCCTCTTAAGACAGGCAGAAAATTAAAGACGATACTGTGTTAATTATTAACCAAAAATATGGAGGCAGGTTCTTCATCCTGGTTAAATGGCCTGAGCCAACTGAAGAAGGATACACGTGACTAAAGGCACTTTGGGAATTCTACTTTTAAATAAACCTGGTAATAGCTCTGGCCTCTAAAATGGATCATAAATGTTGTTCTACCTTTCCTAATGTCTCTTTATGGGATAACAGGAGCCAGCTGGAACTCACTGTGGTAGCCCTAAGCCACAGTACAGGAAGTGGAGCCCCCTGGGAAAACAGCTAAAACTCTACTAAAACCTGACTGTGCTGTATGGCTAATTAAGAATCCAGACAGAATAATCACTGTAGAGTGACTGTGTTAAAGCTCGTAGAGTCAGAATGTATACCATATACTATGTGAGATGCTCCATCTACCTCTGTCTATCATTTCTGCTTTTTCTGCATTGCTAAAACTATAATTAATATTAAAACAGTATATCAGGATTCAGTTTTAAAAATGTGTTTTCAGTACTCTAAACTATAATGTTTGGTAGAATAAGACAGAAAGGAGAAAAAGTCATTGTATCAGAGACAGCTTTATAAACAAAATAAACAAAAATATTAAGGACACAATGATGTCAATGCAGGTGTAGCCAATATCCCTTATTGAATGATTTAATTAAATCAATCACATAGACAGATCATTTATGTACATACAATGAAATAAATTAGTAAATTACTAATATCAGGAGAGTACAGCAGTTGCCCACTCAACCATATACACCTCCTTCCGTCCCTCTTTCATTCCCTCCCTCCAACTCATTCGTGCCAAATCCATTTGGTTATTGGCTCTGCAGCTGAACCTCTATAAAATCATGACAGCGGAAGACTGCATCACAGAGTCCTGGGCCACACCCGTAGCAGGACGGGTGATTTACAGCCTGCGCAACATGTCGTGTGCTTCATGCTGGAGAGTCTGGAGCAAGGACCCTGACTACCGCTCACTACACACACCAGTGCTGGACCATTACATGGGCAGTAATTTGTTAGATCATGAGGAGGGTTGCATTCAACCCACCGCAATAAAAATTTATCATCCCCGAGGGACCATCAATGAGGACGGCAGCATGACTAATGTGGGAACATTGGTGGGTGAGTGGAGGGCAGTTAAGTGATGGCAAAAAAGGAAAACCACCTGATCGCCCAACAGCGAGCTTGTCCCATTTCCTCCTCCGAGTTTGTACAAAAAGGACCAAATACCCTTGCTCTGTCCTCTAACCTACTATAGGGCAATATTTCCCTCTGTTTCACACAGAGATACCCTCTCTGGTTCTCCGCTTTCTTTTTCCCACCTCTGCCTCCCTCACACACATACACACAAACACATATTAATGCACACAACTCGCACTCTCTGCATGCACAGCCCTCACACTCTGTATCTCTGGCAGCAGTGATGGGAGCTCAGTGGGGACACATGACTTATTCAGCCATGTAGCTTCCATACTCTACTGCCACCATTTTTGTTTTACTTCACTCTGCTGCATCCTGCAGACAGCAGGGCAGGCAGGATGGAAGCAGCTCAGCGGCACGTGCGCATGTACCACGTGTTCAGCGAGCCAGTGCGTATGCCTCCCTTCCCCCTTTACCTCCACATCCCACTGAGTAATATACCGGCAAATGAACACATGCTCTGCATTCTAATTACATGCCGCTCCTACTATGCAGGACATACACAGACTGATGCACCTATATAGCAAATGCGCAGTGTGCTATACTGAGCTGATGGGCAGTTGGCATGCTGCATGTCAGTCTTCAATTATCGATGCATAACTGGACACAAACCGTCTTTGCAGCTGCCAGAAGAAGCCAAAAATCGGTCCATGTTCATGCACGCAAGCTGACACATAAACTGTTAGCATACATTCCAGCACGCAAACACATGATGTTCAAACAACCCATAATGATTTCTACTTTGTCCATTTGCACACAAATCAAATGTTTCCTTTCACAAACTGCGTGCTGTGGGCAATCAGCTTCAAACAGCAGGTGCCCACACACACAAACACACCAACAGCTTCACTGTAGTTGTTATACACACTTCACTACACAGTCATAACCTATGGTGCACAAATAATAGATTACCATTGACTCAGCTTTAACACCGCCACGGAGCCGTTGCAGCTCTTGCACAGGTGAAGTGCACTGTGTGAGTTTCTTAGGTGGTGAAATCCTTACTTATCTGTACTCTCTTTCTTACAACTAAAAGTGTACCACTACAATGTTTTTATATACATGATGAGCTTTAAAATTAAAAGTCTGTTTTCAAAAAACCGAATGAAAAAAGCTATAATAAAGAGTCATAGACAGCAACAACTAAATAACCTAATTTAATCTGGCTAAAACCTTCTGTTGAATAGGAGCAACAAAACACTCATGAGTGGCCTTAAATTAGATCGATGTCACTTAGTGAACCTGCGTTTGCTCTGCACTTTATTTGTCAGATAACTGGAACCTGCTGCAGAAGGAATTAAATCAATTGAGCCTGAGAGTAGATTGAGAGACCCACAGTGGGGGTGTGTGTGCATGTGTGTGTGTGTGACAGCAACAGCGGAAGCAGGGTGTGTCCGATATGGTGGTTAATGTGTCCGTCGAGCTCTCTACCACTCCGCTGATAGCGGGACTAAGCGAGGTAGCAAAAGGGCAAAATCTAATTATGTAAAGAAATTTATGGCCCTGACAAAGCATATCACATATACAAATGTTGTACGCACACACACGCACACACACTTAGCAAAGTATGCCTACGAGTACGTGATGCTGTCAGAGGCGCCCATCAGTAATGGTTATACCTCTCTCGTGGGGATTCTTATGTAGGTCTACTGCAGCTAAATTTTTCTCTGGGCTGCACAGCCAATGTGCGTCACACATTTTACTGACTCACACTGACAACATGAAATACTGCATCTAAAGTGCACTTACATACACACTAATAATCTAATATAAATCTGATTTCAATATTAGCCGACTAGTTTTCAGTATGATAAATTTGCCCATGTTACCTACGAAGCTTATTATAGTCTTTTTATTTCAAAGCCCGGCTAGTCACTTGATGAGCGCTCTATGAGTAAACACATAAAATTTTTTGGCAGGACTATTTTGATATGATGTCCAAAGTATTTAAGACAAAAATGTATTACTGCCCTATTACTGCAATATTTGGTGCCTGTGAGGATCCATTTACTTCCAAACAGACATTTCAGTCAACAGTTTACTTTGTCAGTGTATTTTTATATCGAAATAACAAACTTTTTTTTTCTAGGTTTATTCAGCTACAGTAGACGCACTTGCAATTCCTTTAACTCCAATAATGCCCACATGGGATGCTGGCTAAAGATCAAAGACAGAAAGAAAGAAAGTTCCACAGTGATGAACTCAACAGATAATTTACAGGATTTCTTGTATTAATGTATAACAGTCATGTCAATAAACTTATGAACACGCACTAGACTTGAGTGTGCATGTTTTTATAAAATGTATTGTAAGGCAAAGAACAACTGTCTTTTGCTGTGTGGTATTTTGTATTCAAAGAAGAGGTGGGGATTCATTTTTCACGGGAAACTGGATGAAAATGATGAAGGTTATGAATGAAATCACTGTGACAGTTCATAATGGACACACAATGAGCATTCTGTACTGCAGTGCAGATTACCAACGTACCCTTGTGTAATACTTTTTAATGAGATGTTTGCACATCAACCATTGTATAAAGCTGTAATCTGAGCGTAATCTCCACAATCCAACTGCTACCCATGGCATGTGGAGGGGGGGAGGGGACTGAAGGGATCTTCATGTGAAACACCTTACTGTCAGGTGGAAGAACGTCAAGGCCACTACAAGTGTATGTCATGTTAATCTATAAGCAATGACTGAATCAAAGAAAATCATACTTGTGACGGCATCTTTTGGCTTTTGTGTTCTATGTTTATTCCGCACCTCAGTCATAGATCCTGTGGAATAGAGCACAGCTAATACTGGATGTCTGAAGCCAATATTCATATTTAATTTATCAGCTGATATGATTTTTTCACATAATATAAACAAACATTTTATTGAGCACTCCTTAAATTTGGTTTTTGACTCATCAGAGATCTGTGGTGGGAAAACTATGTGATGGAACCACTTAATGAATTACCACAAAAGTATTTTGGGCATTTCTGTAATATTATTTCTTTTTACCTATCAGCTGACATACGGTATATGCTGACACTGATATATAAGATAATATCAGTCTAGCTCTACTGTGGAGGGAGTGATGGATTCTGGGGAGCATCCTCATAGCAGAGCATTTCCTACCAAATACAATTGTGAACCCACTGTTTGGAGAAACTGTACAAAATCTTTTGTTGTGCTACTATGTACTACAGGTCTGGAAAAGACATTTTGGGAAACACGCTTATTTGCTGTCTTACCAAGTTGACGATGAGACTGATAGCATTTCCTCATGTTTCCAGTCTTTATGTTAAGCTAATAGCTTCATATTTACCATACAGGTGTGAGAGTGGCATCAATCTTGCTTTTGGCAATAAGCAAATTTCCCAAAATGTCAAACTATCCCTTTAAGCATCTTCCTGGGATTGTGTGCAGTATGTGCTTGTTCTCCAGGTTTTTATGTGTTATAACAAGTTTGCTACCAAAAGATTCAATCTGTTTGACGCAAGCGTTTCTGACTGAACAATGTGTCTACACACAGACATACCAACATGGTGACATAACACATCATACCATACACCATGGTGGCATAAAAGTAATGAACAAAGAGGCTATTAACTCAAAGTCTACCAAACAAACAAAGAAAAAGAGGCAGCGGGATAAGCCTCTATTGAAACGGTCAGAATCCCAAAGGCTCTATCTGATCATCACCACTGTCTCAGACAAAGGCCTCCTTCAGCCTCCTTTCCTGGTCTGTCGCCAAGTCACCTCAGGACCCAACACCATGTACACAGTGTGACTCAGGTGAGGAACACATGTTGACCTGACTGCACACAAACACCATAACGCATACAGAAAAGTGTTCATCTAAAGAAACAAAAACATTAGGAGCATTCTCTCGTTCTCTGTTAATTCTTCCCACTGCCCCTCCTCCCCTCTCTAAACTGCACTCCTTCCCAAAACTTGTTTTATTAATAATGCTGCTGTATAATGGTTGCTCTGGTGAAACCCTGCGAGGCATTCCTCCAAGGCTTGTTCTGACATTGGCTGATTGGTGGCCTACTTACACCCGGCCCTTCCAAGCCTCTATGTGGGGGATCATTGTCCCTCATTCCTCCAGGGTGTATTTTCTTAAACAGGGTCTTCTTTGAACCTGTAGCCAAGTGAAGCCTTTTGAACTAACTGCTTCTTACTTGGCACTGAGGAGCTCTATAATGCTGAATTCATTCCCCGCAATGCTTGTCTATATGGCAGTTTATTCAGATTTGCTGCTGTTCTGGAGCAAATTTGCTGATTTGTTGCGTTGGGAAGGCTTTTCACCAAACAGAGCCCACTTAGAACATTTTTGCCTGTAGAATGTCTGAGAATAGGATCAATTATAGACAGCTGCCGGTTCTTTCTACAGACACACAGGAAATCTCTTTCAGACACTTGTGTGCTCGTATATGTCCGCAAACACACACTCCAGCGAGGGGGAGGCTTCTATTCTGTACAAATGTCACACCTACCTGGTTGTCTTGGAAACAGGGGGCTTGGGTGAGGCAGCCGAGCTAGGCTTGGTGGGAGTTGCAGAGGCAGGCTTGGGAGCTGGAGGAGAAGAGAGAGAAAAAAGTTAATAAAATATGGCAAGAACAGTTAGAACAGTATCATAACGTGTACTATAATATTGTGTATAGTAACACATATTACAGATATAGGTCAGGCAGATATATCTCTCATACATTATGTCATATGGATCTAGGGCAAATGCATTTCTAGATTAGCAGCAGCCACTCTGGCATGTCAAATATGTGTACTGAATCCATCCTATGTGCATCTAGCCGCATGTCATCACATTACTATGAATACTCCTCATTGGAGTTGGATCTGTGAAAACATTTCATGCTAGACTTACTGTGAATGTATTTTCCCCCCAAACAGCCTCCAATCTCAGTGACACTAGTGTTTCTGCTCTGATCTCAACCTTTTGTTTTGTGATGACATTTTCACCAACCTGAGGGCTTTTTAGCAGCAGCTGCGGCGGTGCTGGTTTTGACACCATTAGCAGTTGTGGATGGTGTCTTCTTGGCTCCTGTTGTTGTTGCGGTCTTCATGCCATTAGTGGCAGGGGCAGCCCCTGGGGTTTTCTTCTCACCCACTTTGCTCTTGGCGGCTGGGGCTCCGGCCGGGCCTGTTGGTTTTTTGGTGGGAGCTGTGGTTGGGGTGCTCTTTTTGACTGCAGCAGGTGGGGTTTTCTTAGCCACTCCATTGGTCTGGGGCTTAGAAACGCCGTTTGAGATGCGGCTCTGCGATGTGTTAGGCCGTGAGCCAGTTGTGGTCTTGGTTGGACTGGTGGTGCCAGGTTTTGTCTTGGCCGTGGCCTTGTTGGTAGTCTTGGCTTTGGAGTCTCCTGAAGTCTTGTTGCCGGTCTTGGCAGCTGGGGTTTCCTTGGCCTTGTCTGGCTGGGGTGCCGCCGGGCCCGTCTCTCCTACAGGTTGCTGTGGCATCTCCTCCTCAACTGGACTGGCTGCCTGGTTGGGCTCCTGTCCCACGGCTGGTGCTGCCTCATTTACTGGATTGGATTCCATTGCTTCCATTGGCTCCAGCGCTGCTGTGACAACCCCATCCGGCTTCATCTCACTCTGAGTGGTAGTGGTCCGTCTCTGCCGGGCAGGGCTGACTTAAATCTCACAGGATGGCCACAGGTCTACAGGCTTTCTGGAGACAGTGAGTTCTGGTCTGGAGAGAGAAAGGATGATATACAGTACAACATTTAAGTCAATAGCAAGACCAGACATGAAAAGCAGTTTGTAGTCTCTCTTATCAGTAGACAGAGCTCCAGGAATGTGTGTTAGCCCTAGGAGTCAGATAAAGCTATGGCTTACAGGCTCTTACAGCTTCAGCATCACACACACAGAAATATTTTTATGCAAGCATCCAAATTGATTGCAGGACAGAAATGGAACAATACTGTAAAGGAGATTGAACTGCTGCATATACCCAGGAGAAGCCTATCTGGGACAATATAACACACCGAGAAAGATATAAGCACCAAACAAAGGCAGTCATGCAAAAATACATCACAGCTTCATCGTCGTGCTGGGAGGGAAACCTCAGGACAGACAATTAGATCAACACATTTTATGATCAGTTGCATTTGTGTACTGTCTCAGAGACCACAGAAGGAGGGGCAGAGGAGGACATGTCTACCGAAGAAACAACACATTCTACAAATAGCCTTCATTAATTTCAATGCCAACCGCAGTGCAGTGGCAATTGGCCCCCTCTGTGACACTAAAAAGCTCAGTGACACACTTGGCCACCGTAGCTGCTACGGGTTGGCTTGCTTTTTCCTTGGTACAAAATGGCATCAGAGCCACTAGTGTGGAAGACTAGTTTTCTGGGATAGTACTCTTGAGGGAGTGCAAAAAGCTTTGGCACACAAATTGCATATACATGTATGTACAGAATATGCCACCTTTAACAATGTTAAGACACGCAACTTTTAAATCTGCACACGGATGAGAAAAGCTAGGAAAGCCTGCTTCACCCTATTAGACTAAAATGGTAAAAATAAAAAAGAAGAAAGTTAGCGTGAGGTGGGAAAGAAGTGTGGATGTATTTTCTAAGTGGGTCAAGGCATGTACAATAAACCCAAAGATAGGCAGACAGTTTCACTCATGGGTCACAAACCGAACAGTCAGAGACGTGAGCAACTGAGGAAGAAGTGGGACATGAAGCATACGAGGCCTGATAAAGGGCAACCATCTGTAATACAGGCTGTCATATATTGTCTGCATCAATATTAGACAACTGTCTCTTATTTTGTTTCCTCGGCTCCTTCCAAATGGACGGACGACAGGATAGGTTTTTACAAGTTTAAGAGAAGCCGGTGGGGAGAGTAGCAGGAAACTGACTTGTCAAAGTTTACAAACAGAGCGAGGAGCCGGCTGTGCAGGAGGCTAAGTGGTGAGACAAACTCTGAGGCAACACAGAGGCCAGCCCAGAGGAAGAGGCTTGGCCTGTGGAGCATGGGAACAGAAAGAGAAGGTCTGTCAGAGGGAGAACAGAGACGGGGAAAAAACAAGACGTAATATGAGCTCACTATTGGCTGATGCTTGTTTGGTCCAACTCTAAAATCCAGACATCACTAGTCATCCTACTTTCCACTGACCTAAACTTGTATGCACACACTCAGTGTCCCATTTATAGAAGAGGACAGACATAATCTTTATGCCGCTAGCTCTCTGGAAACAATTCCTGCACACTCCTCCTCGTCTTTTTTCCTTCTTCCGTCATCTTTTACTCATCCTCTAAACTAAATCTCACATGTCAAAAAAAGGCCCTCTTTCATTCTCAATTGATCCTCCCTTTCTCCTTAACATTTCCCCCTCAATTTCTTTCCTCCCCCCACCACTACCGCTCTCCTTCCATCCCTCTGTTCTCTGTTTGCCTTTGCACAGATGGCCAGAGCAGCTGAGCAGGGCCAGAGGGGGATATAGAGAAACTGAGATTAAAAAAAAAAATACCCATGATGTATCCCAAACAGCACATAAGAACTGACACACACTGCTAGTGCAACATGACAAAACAACCGAAGAGGGTGAGAGGCAGTCGACGGGTAGCTGCGAGAGGCCCTTCATGCCGCACCCTTCGGTCACAAGGGGTTTTTAAATGCCAGTGAGGCTGCAAAATGTGGACAGTTGGCTTGATTATGTCACTAACCACAACCAGTCACAGCTTTTAGGGGAGAGGCTGGTGTGGGTGAGGAAGGGGGGAAAAGAACAGGAGAGTAAAAGAGCCAAACTGTTTTCATGTTTGTTTCAGAACAACCTGCGGCTCAGACCGCCTTTCATTTATCCTCATATTTCACGTGACTTTCAGACGTTTGAAGGAACAGAAAATCTTGGAATTGGTTGTTCGTTAAGCCCCACCCCTTAGTTACTGTTGCTACGTCTGTGAAGCTTTCTATTGTCGTGTGGCACATAATGCAGAACACAGTAATAATAGTGGCAGATTTATCACAAACATGATTTAGTAACTTCTGGAATGGGTCCTTGATGTCAGACAAACGCAGCATTTTATTACTGACTGCCGTTAATGGCCAGCTGAATTGTTGCTAGCAGATTTCATCAGTTTATGAGATATGACTGGACGATTGCTGTTTTGGGGAGAGGTGTAGCAAACGGTCAACTATTCAGTCTAAGTCTCCCATACTACTACAGCCCAGAACAGTTCACAGGAAGTTATTCTAAATAACATATGGCACAGGATGAGTGGGAATCCAACATTCAAGTGCTAGGATTGGCCAGACGAAGGTGAAACTTGTAGTATAAATAACAGACAAGTGTAGCTAGGAAGTAGTGTTGGATTAAATGGGTTAATCAGTTCAGTCGCAGTTAGGTTAGGCTGCTTTAGGAAAATATGGTTTGGGTTAAAATAGACCCTTTCACAACATTTACCACGTCACAAAGCCTTCCTGGCAGAAAACTTCTCCCACTTGTGTGACCATGGGCGCCTGGCCAATCCGAGTGCTTGAATGCTACGCAGGGCGGGTCTTTCCATAAAAAAAAGCAGTGGGATCCATAACATTGGGAGGCTGACTAAATCAGGACAATACACTAAGTGCCAAATATGCACAGGTCTCTTTAGTTCTTACACATCTAACTCCACCCACTTCATATTCCAAGATCTGTAATACAGCCAAGCAGTGAACCAGGAAATAAGATTGTGTCCAATCACCATTCCCTCCTCTCTTTTTCAGGCTCTGGTGTTCTTCCCACAGTAGACTAAAGCATCTGGCCAGGCTGTTCATTTCCACCGCTCCTCTCCAAAGTACCCTGCACTGCTGGTGTTTGTGAGAAATAAAGAGTGATAAATCCTGATTGCACGCCACAGCCAGAGCAACATTTCTCTTTCTCCTGCAAGTCTCCAGACAGCTGTGAGATTGCACTTCTCTCTCTCTGGCTCTATTGCTCGCTCAGACGTCCTGCGTCATTAGGACCATCAGTCAGCGGTAAGCGTAAACAGGCTAGAAACCAGGAGGACAGGAACATACTTCAGGAACAGAGTTTTTATCTACTCTTCACAGAATCTGGAGGTGGAGGGGATTTAAGGCACGTCGAGACACTTTCACTATTTCAGCAGCCGAATAAACAGAAATGATGTTTAAGAATTCATGGCTGGTGTGCTGCCAAAGTGAATTTCCCACCCTGGCACTCACCCCTTAACACCCCAGTGACCCTGCACATACATTTCTCATGATACATATTGCATCTCCTTTAGCAGTTTCCTATATATTAGTGTATTTTTCCATTTGTAAAGCTTTTGACTGACATGTAATTGTTTTTGTTTTTTTAAATGTGCTGCAACGACTTTAAATTATCTTGAATTTCATCCTTAATTAATGCGGCACTCCGAATGGAAACATCCATGAAACATCAACCAATTAATCTGTTTTCATTCCACCTAATTAGATTGAAGAGAGTCCTCTTTCAGATCAACTGAGTGAGCTGCTGCTACAAGGGAACACATTTATTACATTATTACCAAGTTGGCCTACTCAGTCAAATGTTTGCTTAAACTGTAAAGCGGAGTCATGTTTTCTAAGAACCGGCTGTAAAAAGTTACATTTGCAAGTTAAATTCCTCAATTATTGTTTTATTCTACTGTTTTGCAGAGAAATCCCCCCTTTTCCCACCCCCTTGTTCACATCCATACAATTACACACATCTGGACCACAGAGCCGTGTGGCACAACTCTATTTTCCTCCTTTATCGACTGAGCAGCTTCACTAGAGCAACTGGGGATTACATTTTTTTTTGCTGGTTCATTGGCACCTCAACCGCAGCTGATTGATTTGTATTACTCCAGGGAATTAGGATGGGATTGCATTACCATATGTTATATTACATAATGCTATATTGGTCCTCTCTTAAATCATAATATTAAAGCTGGACCAAAGGAGACCAATTTATTCTTAGGTCCATGCCTTTCACCTGTTGTCTATTAATGATATGAATAAATCCATAAGGAAGAGTATGGCGTTTAGACCACCTTTTCCTTTGTAAAATTCACCCTGCATCTATTATTTCCATTTTCCTTCAAGAACCGACGGAAAACCCTGGATTGGCTGCAGGAAATCCTCTCCATCTTTGGTCCCGCCAAGGCTACAAAACAGACTGTAAAACACAAGCTGGCATTTTCAACCCATAAGGGACAGAATGTAGTCAATGACCTGATACAGAATGGCTTGTAAGTTAGTGCACATTTCCAGCAGCAGATCCCAGACAGATGGCTATGTCAGCTACAGTCGGTCCATTTCAAAGCATTTAGGAACAGTGGACCATGTGAAATGTTTGGGACATAAAATGGTTTAATCTGGAGAGAATTTCTGGTCAAGCGCCCTCAGACCAGGCAGCCAGTCAGCTGTCCTGACCTTTCGTGGCCTGAGCGACGCACAAATGCACACAAAGGATCTGCAGGAGAAAAGCTACTTCAACCGGCGGCAGTTGTTATCCTCAACCTGCAGCGAAAAACAATAGCGGGGGATAAAAAGGAGTCGCATGGAGTGGAGTGAGAGTTTGGAAGGTTTTTTTTTCACTGTAAAATTCTGATTGTAGTTGACTTTGCAAAAATGTGTTTGTTGGCCTTCACAAAGTGATGTGGTTGCAGCTTCTAAGCAGCATCCCACTTCAAATTCCCTGCAAGCCTCGATGATGAGCTACACAGTCACTGAG